ATCATCATTAGTTCTTTTCTACTCTACCAACTACCCAGACTCAGGTGTTGTATATCAGTGAAGTGTCAGAGGCATCATTGTCGTATCCCTGACATCTGGATATAATGCTCATAACCTGGGCCACTGGAACAAAGTAACAGAGATAAAATGCCTGCCATGCTTCTGGCTGACAGCTGTTCTTCCCACAGAGACAGCACACATCCCATTGTGCTCTGTGGCCTAATAGCTGAGCACCTCAGTCCTGGAGTGTGATGGTCCGCCTGACCCCTGCCTTCTCATGTGTTCATGTTTGGTTCCATTCTTTGGTACCTAAGTAAGCTTGGCACCACCTGCCCTGGGGCAGCACATCACACAAGCCACTCACATAGCATCGCATTGCCTTGAGCATCCACTACTGAGTTAATGTGTCCTGCAAGGGAGATAATGCCCCCCAGATGGAAAAGAGTTCATTTTTCCAACTGGAATCAACTTTCATAGAAGAAAGGCATTCTGCTGGTAAGTCTTGTGGTTTTCCTTTTAGATATGGAGTCTCTTGAACAAAAAATGACTGCAATGAAGAAAATTCAGCAGCAAGTCAGCCTGAAGGTAAAGTGCAAAGGCAGAGAGAGCACTGAAGACAAACCTTCCACAGAAGGATCCTAAAGACAGACTGGGAGCTTTGGGAGACTGCTGCATCCAGACAGCAGAGACTGCTGGGTATGTAGAGTGAGCACCGCATGGGTATCAGCTGCATGCGATAAAGAACATTACTTACTGTTTCTGTGGCTGTAAGAGCAGCAAGTTCTGGCCCCTCCAAAATGCTTAAATATGTCAGCCTCAGTGTCCTGCAGTCAGGCCACAAACTCTTAGCTAACAGATGCACGTGACCTGTGTGTGGCCATTTCACAGGGCTCATTTTATGAGACGTCCTGCATTTAAAAAAAAAAAAAATGCAGGGAAGAACTTAGTCTACTAAATTTTTTTTTTTTTTTTTTTTTTTTTGTACCAGAGATCAAACTCAGGTCCTTTTGCTTACAAGGCAGGTGGTGGAACCACTGAGCTAAATTCCCAGCCCGTAGTCTGTTAAATTCTGAAGTATACTTAGATCCTGAATTCTTCTATTGACAATTAGTAACTATAATACTTTGGTCATTATGGCAATTTATTTTTAAGAAAAAAACTGTTTTAAAGAATTTGGAGAGTTTCTCTCTTCCTTTTTTAAAAAAAAAAAAAAAAAAAAAAAAGATATTCTGCTAGAGTTAGTGTACTCAGTTTTATTCTGAAAGAAGGTGAAACTCTTGAGGTCCCTACACATTAAGAAGCTGAAGAACCTGAGGAGGGGAACAATGTACTCAACTGTCCAGGTAACCAGTTGGGGTCACAGGAAGGGACCTGCCACAGCCCACCGCTGTATGTGATTTCACTTAACCCTGGGCTTCCCTAAGCAAAGAGTATATTTACTGATGAATGCCAACTTGTATTTTGTGCCCCTGAATCTTTACTGTTTAGTTCTCCATATTTTTACACAGTGTCCCTTTGCATTCTGTCACCATCTCCAAGACCACAGCTTCAAGGGAGAAGAACCGGTTCCCATCTCCTCTCTGCACCACAGGATCTAAACTGCCTGTAACTCCTTCCCTCCTGAGGAGCCCGTGTCAGCACCACCCTTCCACTTCAAGATTGTAGCACATTCTCACAAAGTACTTCAAGCCATAAGTAAATTAAAAGGACATTTTCCACATAAAACAGCTGAGGTCTACATCCTCTGCATCCAATATCAAAGCCAGATAGGGGAGACACAAATTAATTAAGCTAAGTTACAGTAAGGCCTTTTTTTCTTTTTGTGCAATAATCTTTGGCTTTGAGATTTTAAAAAAAATGAATTGTTAGGGTTCTGAACCTCTTCTGGCAGAGACAGTGCAAGCTAAATGCTCCACATTATGGGTTTCTTTAGAATGAGTCCAGAGGCAGGAATTGGCCGAGTTAATCTCCTCCATTGTCTCCATGAGCTGACAATGCCTTGGGAAGCCCACCACAGAGCTGCTGCTCGACCAGGCCCCAGCTTTCAGAACGCTCCACTTCCCACAGACTGCCAATCTGGAAGCAGCTGTCAGTCATTATATGAACAGCACATGTCATCACACTCCTGTTAGAAGTACATGACCTTAAACAGCACCCATGCTGTGAACCTTCCACAACCATTTCGATGTAGTTTCTTAGTTTTTACGTGCTGTAACTGTGATGGCACCAGACACTGCAATAAACTTAACTTTACCTTATTTGGCTTGTAAGAAACATTATAAGCAATTCCATATTTATCTGATTTTAACATGCTTTTTTGAGTGAGAATATACTATTACACAAAGCAGAAAATATTTCTTAAAGTAATATGCCTTTACAATTCTCTGCTTTACTTATAGGTATATATATATATATATAATATAAATATATATACCTATAAGTAAGCCATAGATAATAAAATATATAATGTATTATGTAGGATTAGCTAGTCTACAATTGGATTAAAAAGGGCTAAGATAACTTTCTTAGGCACTTTATAGACAAAGTATTGAAAATTGAAATTTAGCAAGAAGTTACCATATAATATACACATACCTGTAAGGAAAAGTGCATTGTAAAGTACTAGCTAGAATGATGTTATTGTACATTTTTATGAAGTACTATGTAAGCTTTCATTATTTATTAATTTACTTATTTATTTTGCGGTACTGGGGATTGAACTCTGGATCTTGTACTTGCGAGGCAGGCACAGCACCACTGAGCTAAATCCCTGGGCCAGCTTTTAAAAATTTTGAAGTCATTAAAACTGTCACAGAAAGGGCCAGGGATTTAGTTCCATGGCACTGCACCTGTCTCACAAGTGCAAGGTCATGAGTTCAATTCCTGGTATATAAAAAAAATTATTTCAAAAAAAACTATAATCCAAAAAAGCCAACCCAAACCCAGTATAAACTTCAAATAAAGTAAAAAAAAAAAAAATCATTCAGCTCAGATCACATTACTCTATACCTAATGGTTACCATAGTTACAGTTATTAACCATAATAACTGAAATGTCAGCAATAGCCACAACTATACACACAGACTTAATTCACTGTGGTTCAGGCACTATCATTACTGTTTTCCATTTGTATCTCATTTAACTTTCACAACAATGAAGTAAAGGAGACGTTAACATTATTTGCATTTTGCAGATGAGGAAAATGGAGGTATAGACAGATTCAATGATCTGTCTAAAATCAAGGGCGCTGCATGGTGGAGCCCGACTCCAGGCCTGCTCTCCTAATAGACGCAGTGCCACCTTCCTGTGCTGGAATCCTCACTTCCTGTGTGGCCTTGCACACATTCTCCAAGGTCTCCAAAGCTCATTTCCGTTAGTTGCAAAATGAGAATAATATTAATAGTTTATGAGAAAGTACTGCACAAAACATAGAGCTACATAATGCTGCCTATTGTTACTGAGATAAGAAAACAAACTGTTGAATAAAGAAAAAATTACTTATCAGCTCTTTATCAAAATTTTCTAAGAAAAATCCACACCAGGTAAATATCCCTGATTATTTTACCTTGCTTAACATATAAGCCATCACGTAAAGGCAAAAACAAATCAAAATTGTTATGACACCCTATGAGATAGATAAGCAGGAATAGATTAATCTAAAGTGAACACTGAAACCAAGAAAGCAGCTTTGGAGATGAATATAATAAAACTTGTCAGACCACCAGATTTGGCCTCTCAAAGAGCTCTTCATAACTGTGCACTTAAAATGTTACCTGGAGTCACTATCAGACCCTAATTTACCATAATCTTCATATACATATTGGTTTCTGGCAATATTTAAATTCTTAGGCACAGAAAGGGAAAATAATTCACCAAGGTTATACCTATATACAGTCTCTGTGTGTGTGTGTGTGTGTGTGTGTGTGTGTGTGTGTGTTGTACACAACCAAATGCATTTCTATGCTTTAATATTAGAAAGAAAAAAAGTATCTCTTCTTTTTTGGGATCTAAAGAAACCAAGGGAGTACTTGCTATATGAAAGATTAGCCTTCTCTGCTGCACCCTAAAAAGATTAAGAATAGTTATCCGTAAGGAAGTAATAAAAATCTCTAACACACACACAGACAAATAACTACTTCTCATAAGAACACAAACCTTGTCTTTTTGCCCTGTTGGGACAAGGTGCAAAATCTAGCCATCAGCAATGAGCTGAGTGATCCTTTATTCTCTACCTACCACACTGGCTCAGGTGACCATGAACAACACACTAGCACCCTCTTCTGGATCTCCTCCCAGCCACCCCCTTTTCACCCCAGGGAACTGCTCTGCCTGTAGCTGAGAGGCTGATGAGATGTTTGTGTGGTGATGTGCTGCTGAAGAGCCAGCCACCAGCAAGTTACCCGTCTTTGTTTTTCTTTTTCTTTTTTTTTTTTTTTTTTTGGTACCGGGAATTGAACTCAGGTCCTTACGCTTCCGAGGCAGGCAGTGGAACCACAGAGCTAAATCCCCAGCCCTTACCCATACTTCTTAACGACTACTCTCCTCACAGCTCAGTAACTACTTGCCTAAGCTAGGTGACCAGTTAACCAGCCTAGACCTCAAACCCCTTGTCTGTAAAGTGAACTAACTTGCTATCTTATGAAATACCAGGACCTTGCCATTTCAGGAATTTCACATCCATTTTTTCCAAGGTTTTCAGAACCTTCTTCAATGTAATTTTTATGAATCTAGTGTTTTTTTTTACCTTTCTTTATGTTTATATTATTAATGATTGATTTAAAGAAATATATATGGCCAAAAGAAATAATAGGAACAAAGGGGCCAAATATTTTCAACAATTCCTTTATTCACTTCCTAGGTGTTCATACTATTAGATGAGGAACACAGGAAACTAATTGTTTAAGCCCCAAATTATGCAAATTTGCATCATCAATAACTTTTACTTAATGCCCTAAGAAGGAAGGGAGTCACAAGACTTCATGAGTCTGGGTTCTACCGACCTCCTGGTCGCTCGTGGTCTCCATCCGAGTGCAGGAGCATTGCGATGGGCAAGCCTACGTTCTTGGATCTTCCAGCCACAACCACATTTTTCCCAAAAGTTTCAATTCCTTGAAATACAGAGTTGATTTAAATGCAAAAATCAATAACAAGAAGCATACATTGGAACAGTCAACTGAAGCATTCTTTAAAAAGCTCTAATTAAATCTGAATTACATGACTTGTCTCTTACATGCCTGCATTCAATTATTTATGAGTATTTCCTTTTATGCTCTTTGGATTTATCACTTACTTCCTCTCTTATTATATCCTCACTTAAAAACCACAAACACCTTCAAGATACCATTAAATTACTTTTAAATACTGCAATCTACATGAAGAATTAGAAGTGCAGAGCCTTAATATATATAATTACTAATTATAAAATATGCCAAGTAACAATATCAGGCTTAATAGGCAATCAAACATTGAGCAAAGGCAGGATAAAACATAGTGGGAAAAAATATTTTTCATAAAGTTCACGTACTTTACTCCATAGGAAAGAAGCACTAAACTTACGAGATTTGGAAGGAAATAAAAGATAAAGCTTGCAGATTTAACATACTCCACCTCTTTTGGGCTTAGTTCTTTAAAAGTAAAATAAGTTAAAACTAATGTCTGTCCAAGTACTAACATCCTAAATGTATGATTTTAGGATTTACTTTCTCTTGGAAATTTTTTGTCAGTTAGAAAATAGATTAGAGAGGCAAGGATGCTATGAGAAATAGCAGGACAATGATGGGTACAGGAGATCACTACCTCCAGGCAGGTGATAGCCTGGGTGACAGGGGTCAGTTCACGGAGAGGTGATCAGCTCTGTACACCTGAGAGTGAGCAAGTGTGACTGTGTTTGATGTGACTCAAAGGGAATGCTTAGTACAGAAACCTGGGGCAACAGCAGTGGTTCCTAGACGATCAGCACATCATTTAGTAAGGAGAAATATAATATGCATACATTTTGGAATAGTTTTCATCAAAATGCATGACATTTAATTTAAAGGTAGTGAGCCATAAATATTATCTGGAAAATTTACCCTTACAATTTGCAACTGCAGTTACCTGAAATCTGGCACATGTTTTTTATTTTATTTCATTTTAAATTACTTTTTCATTTCTATACCTTTATACCTGCCTACAGATTGAAGCTTTATGGCTTATCGTATCCTTCCCTTCTACAAGACTAAGGTAGTTTCATTAAAGCAATGGACAAATGCTCAGTTCAGCAACCAACACCTATGTCCTGCAAGTCCCAGGTTACTACCTGTCCTTTTGATGATCTCCCAGACAGCGCCAGCAGTGGCAGGGATGAAAGAATGCTGGTCCAGGCACAGTCTCCCCATGTTGATAACATGAAACCCATCCACATCTTTTCCTGGGGAAATTCCATTGCATACTGTTCGCTCATCCACATGATCTGAGAAGAAAATAAAAATGTCTCTTTCTTAAATTGCTGTGATATGGAAAGCTGGAATATGAAACATGGAACCTGTAGTCAGGTCACATATGATTCAGTTCCAAGAAGATATGAAATCATCACTCTTCTCTGGCCACCACACAGTGAACCAAGTGCTTGTGGCTGGCACTGGAATTCACTGCTGCTGGAGCATGTGTTTCCGTGGGCCAGAGGCAGCTGGCCTGGAGAAACGGGGAAATGTGTGGATTAATACAATTCTAGTTAGACCTGAGAGAAGCTGAGCCTGAAACCTTTGCTTCAACTAGTTTGTATATGTAGAGGGTTTAAGGCTTACATATATGATTCTACAAGAGTAATAAAGCAATAAAAAAGGAAATTAAACATCTGAACTGTCAATTGAAACATCCTTTAAATGCTGTTTTTCCACTCTAAGATATTTGCACTAATAGGCTTCTGTTAAGAACTTTGACCACTGCACATTAAAAGGGCTTCTTTAGAGTGAAAAATAGTCCTAACATCATTGGTTCTTAGCCTTGCCTTAAGTTACATGATAAAAAAGTAAATATCACACACATGCCCGCACACATGTGCACGCACACACACACACTTCCTTTTCCTGAAGCATTGCTCCTTGAAATCTAAAATATCACTATACAAGAGGAAAACATATAACCTGAAAAATGAGGGAATTAAAGACGATATAGGATACCAACTATCTCATTTTTAAAAGTATAGAAATGGGCCGGGAATTTAGCTCAGTGGTACTATGCCTACCTTGGAAGCCCAAGGTCCTGAGTTTGATCCCTGGTACTATGGAAAAAGAAAGTATAGAAATACAAAGTGTAAAATATAGGGGATTCTTTCTGCTTTTTGCAGAGTAGCTTAGGTTATCATTAAGCCAATAACTAAACCACGTGCCCAAAATATTGAAATACAATGTATTCGGTATGTAAATCCAACACACAATGGCTGCTGCTTAGGCATAACAAAACTTGATAAAAGCACAAGTTAGAACTTTTTCTAAATAGCTATGTCTTCAAGCAGGGTGGCACGCCCCTATAATACAGCACTCTGAGAGCCTGAGGCAGGAGGATCATGAGTTTGAGACTAACCTGAGCAATTCTGCAACTTAGCAAGACCTGTCTCAAAATAAAAAGTAAAAAATTTTAAAAAGTATGGAGAGGTAGCTCAGTGTACTAGGGGTTCAACCCCTAGTACTACCAATAAGAAAAAAAACCTACCACCTATGAGCTGTTTTTTGTCTTAAATCTTTTGTGTTCTGAAGCTGACTACTCCCCACTTAACTCTAAATAGATTCAATTTGCCATCACATCAACATCAGTCCTTTAACTATATAAAAGAGTCACTTGGATCATTTTAAAAAATAAAGTGGATCTTTGAAATGTCCTTCCATTCAGTAGTTTTTCATTTTCAAAGATGACATTTTTTTTCTAGAATATTCTAGTGCTACAGAAGGAAGTAGTAAGTGACACACAGAGAGGCAGAAGAATGGAAGTAAAATAACAAATTTACTCATCAATAAGGGTCAATCACACATAAGTCGTGCCTGGGTCAACGATGCCCTGGGTTACAACTCCTCCTTTTATAGGGTTTCACAGCCTTGACTTCATTTGGGTGGTTACATTTTATTCTCAAAGTTCAAATCATGGTCACAGAATAGTTAATCTTTTCAACCCAGATGTAACAGTTCTTTGCAGTTGGGGAGTTTACCTTTAAGATTTGCCTAGTTATCTATTCTAGTCCATAGAAAGGGGGTGTTCAGGGTCGGGGGAGCAAATGTCAGCAATGGGTTCTTTCATCTAGACACTCTATGATCATGTGGCTCCAGTCTTTTCGGAGCTCAAGGTCTTGCTGTGCCCTGTTATCTCAGGGTGAGACCAAATGCCTCATTCAGCAATTAGTGCCTTTGGTGCCTATTAGTTCTGAGCTAAACAAAGCTAACTGCTGTTAGAGACAGCAGAAGCTATTTTACACTGTAATGCTTTATAGGCTTTTGTTATTTATAAGTTTTCCCTATCATTAGAAGAGTAAACCTCATTTGTTTTCTCTGAAGCCAGAAGAACATTAGAGAAAACTTTTCAAAAATTACGTTTAATTTACTTACTTTTTTTTTTTTTGGTACTAGGTAAATCCCCAGCCCTTAATTTACTTTTTAAATAAAAAATAATGGTTTTAACAATCTGGATGATGATTACTCTGGTGGTGATGATGATGGTGCTGAGTCATGTTTTAGCAACCTACCACTCACAACATGCTTGTCTTTCACAACAGAATTAAAGGCTTTGTAAATGTTAAGAACAATTATATTTGAAGATTATTTTTTAAAGCAAAGGCTCAGGTTAGTTCACTGATAAGAGAAAAATCCACTAATACATGAATAAGCTGAGCCACCAACTAAAGAATTTTAAAAGGACCTTATCTATATTAAGAGCTATCTTATCAATGAGCTCAAATTACCCTGAATTCCACCATCTCCTGGTCTTCATTGTCCAATTCACTGAAAGACATGCTGAAACTGTAACAGATAATTCATTTCACACACCAGGTGAAATACTCTACAGGAAAAAGAAGTATCTGAAAAAGCTGAAAATTTGGTAGTCAGAACTACAGACATGATTACAAACCGTCCTCTTGTGTACTGTACTTCTTTCTTTCTTCTTTCATCATTGTCTCCTTTTCTTCCTCTTTTTCTCCTCTTCCTCCTCCTCTTCTCTCACTTTCTTTTGACTGGGGTTGGTGGTGGACATGGAACCCTTGTATACTAAGCACATGCTCTATCACTTGTGTGCTTAACTTCAACTCAAATCATAACCTACATCACTGCTTCAGAACAATTTTGTCTCAAGGTACATAATTATTGGTAGTTAAACAGAGATGTGGGGATATACACAAAGTGTGACATAAGGGATTCATAAACACTGACATTACTTGCTTAAAAGTATGAATAAATGAAAAATATCAAGATTACAAAAGCAGGAAATACAAGTCAAACTCTGTTAAACTCAGAAGTGGATTAAATTTCACATGCATCCTTTTCCAGAAAAGATCTACCTTTCAGTACATAATGTAAAGTACATAGCAACGTTTTTCATTAGCGTACTTTAATTTGAATAATGGCTTACAATGATCTTCATGGCTACTGGGGACTCAAATTGAAAAGGTATCATCTTCATTTTGAAAATGAAGCTCAGAGTCTGTGACTCAGCCAAGACCTGACCATATGTCTCCTGTAGTTTCCTTTCTGTGTGCCCCAATCCTTTTCAGCACCTGCCTGCCACACTGGTCATACATGCTGGCCTACTCTTCAAGATCCACCTAAACATTATTTTTGTATTGCTATCTCTTATGATGATTTTTCCACTAATAAATCCCTTCTCAATTTTCACATTCTCCTCATTCTCTAACACATGGATCCTTGCCACCTGCTTCCTCACCACAGATTAAAATACTTTTCCCCTGCGTTCTTCCACATTAGCTCAGTTATTTGATTGCATATTTAATTCATCTAATTCTCCCTCCCCCACCGATTTTAGGACACAGACTTTGTCTTATGAAACAGATTCACTTCTCCATCTCAGTTAATGGCAACCTCATCCCTCTGTGCTGCTTGCCAAAAACCCTGGCCTTGTGCTAAACACTTTTCTTCTTCTCACCTGCATCTAATGCTTTGGAAGATACCTAGGCTCTTCCTTCATAACACATCTCACACACCACCAGTTAACCATGTCCACTGATTCTACTCTAGCTCAGTGGATATTTTCCCTCCTGTGAATTCTTGAAACAGCCTTCTAATTAGCTCTTTGTTTCTATGTCTGCACCCATATCAAGCACCAGAGGTATACTTTTGAAATGCACGATGGCTCTTTTCAGGGCCACCACGATGCACACTGCTCAAAACCCCCATCACAGCCTGGTCTCATCATGGGTTACTTCAGGCTACTGTCTTTGTCTCTCATCTGTCAGGATCCCTCTGGTCCCCTCAATATTCCTCAAAAACATCAGGCATTCTCCCTTCTTTGCTAAGCCTTCTATCTGCCTGGAAAGATTTAATGAACAAAATGATAACAAAAATAACCAGATAAAAACTGTCACCTCCCTTCCTTCAAATATCTCCTTAGATGTCACATTTTTGGCAACAATCCCACTAATTTTATCATACTACTTGAAAAATGGGTTCCAATTATAATAATGGTGAAGTAGCTCATATTAGACCAAACCTCTCACAGAAAACAACTGCAAACTTGGAAAAATCATTAAAAAAACAACCAACTATCTGGAAAAAAAATGAGTCAATCAAAAACAGATTTTCAGGAGTGTGAACACCTGCAAAAAAAAGAAATATCACTACACAGGAAAATTGACAAGAAATCAATTATAAACTTCATAAAGGCTAAAACTATATAGTTACTTAATGAAGTATTCAAAGAATATATTTGTGGATTGCTTCTTTTAGAATATAAAATGTATAAAGCACAAAAGAAAAAATTAATTCAATTTCAGAAAAGTCAAAACCTTATGCCTATCAAATAATGATGTTAAGACACAGGGAGAAAATATTTGTTAAACATATGTCTGATACAGAATTAGTACTGTGATACATAAAGAACATATAGGTCTCTTCAGCTGCCTGCCTGCCTGAGTTCACCCGGTGGGTGTGCAACCTCCCAGACTGCGCGACAACAGACCCAGTAAGGACCCAAAGACCCCGGAGGGGGTCTCTTCAGCTGCCTGCCTGCCTGAGATCACCCAGCAGGTGTGCAACCTCCCGGACTGCGCAACAACAGACCCAGTAAGGAAGGTAGCCACGCGGGCGCCCTTGAAACACCCCCACGACCTCCCCACCCCCATTCTCAAACCTCCTGATTGGGCCAGTCCTTAGATCAACTCTGCAGAGGCATAGGTTCTCATGAAGGGTAGTTTTCTGAGCTCCCAATTTTGAACATCTTTAAAGAAAGGGCAGGGGAAACCTGTAACAGAAC